TTCAGGAGCGGACCAATCAAAATCATGACCATTATCCAATTTATGATTACTAATGACTGAATAATTACTAGTGTGTAACTTAATGTTATTAAAATGTTCTTTTATACGTGTGCCTAATTGTCGTTTAGTCTGACCGATGTATAATGAGGAACAATTTGCGCAGTTAATTTTGTATACTATTCCTGTTTTTTCTTTTAAAGATAAAGGATCTTTGACACGTTTAATTAGTGTATTCAATTTTTTCGGTATACAATAAACGCTTTGCATGCCTATAGATTATAATAATCTCGAAACGTCTTCACTTAGTTCTTTGACGTACGGTAATTTTATGATGTGGTCAAATTGTTTATTAACTAAATTATTGTTGTCAACATTGCGATCGTCGTTATTTCGTATCTCAAGCAATTTTAGCCTATTTTTTACAAACTTATTAACCACATTCGACGGAAAACCATTGTTCATGAGTATCGATTTTACTTTAGCGATGTTCACTTGATGAAAACTGTCGTCCGATAATAAAATCGCATGATCGACAAGACTAAAAATGGCATGCATATATAATAATTATTCAGTCATCAGTAATCATAAATTGGATAATGGTCATGATTTTGATTAATTCACTCCTGAAATTTTACATCATGAGAAATATGTACGAAAACGAGAAATCGCGGTAATGCTTCTTATCAAAAAATTTGACAACACAATCAATTTACAAAAAGACACGCATAATCTAAATATTGTTTACGAAAAACTAATAAAGGTCGTTTAGTTTGATCAAAGTAATGAGTATATAAAGAGCTTGAAACCGACACAATAATATAGTTAATTGTTTCACATTATTGTTTTATTATATCTTGTCACATTCTAAGATCAAAAATTAAGGTTTTTTTAAAAAAGTTGTGTTTTAAGTAGGTTTACATATTAATGTGTGGAAATATTTATCGTTTTATTATAGTTACTTTGTTACTTTTTAATTTTTTAATTTTCTAATAATTGTCATTATTATATATTATAGCACTTGATATAAGGGCCGAAACCCATGGCCGAAACGTCGTGAATATTGAATAAAGATCACTTAATTTGCCAGAGTTGGTAGAATAAATTAAATTAATTATTAAAAAACTAAAAATTAATTAAACGACTTAGACTTAGATGATAATAATAATGAAACATTTTATTAAAAAAAGATTCAATAACTAGTAGGTCATGTTATAATTTTTTATTTATTTATCTATAACATTATGAGCTATTAAGCTCATCATCTCGTTCGCTCTCTATGTCTTGCTTTCATTCGGCAAGTCACAAACGGATTAAAATAAAGATAAGAAAAATCGCGAATCATCTCAAACAAAATTTCGGAGCTCTGATAATCGAATAGATATATGATACTCGTATGTTCCTACTTCAACTCTCGAGAATCTGAAACAAAAGAAACTCGTGTCCAATATATATATTATATAAAAGTGTATAGCACTTCACTTGGCAGTTTATCCGAGGCTGTGAAACAGTAAAGATCGAGGCTAGCAGAAGTAGCAGATTAAAAGTTGAGTAAGTAGTAATTAATTAATATTATATATATTCGTATTTACGCGCGCGCGCGCGTGTGTGTGTGTGTGTGTGTGTGTGGGTGTATGTAGGTGAAGAATATATATATATATATATTCATTAATTTAATTTTTATATATATATATATATATATATCGTAACCAGATTACAAAATTCGTCGTTTTATAAAATGTCTAGATATTTTATTAAATGCGGCCACATTCTCAAATTATGGTATATTGAAAATGAAATGTTTTTCAATCTGGCTAAGAATTTTAGTCTTTTTATAAAAAGGACCCGCATTGTCAAACGCAACGATTGTTTGTACATTTATTTTAGATTCTGATGGCTAATTCACTTTAGTCATTTAATGAACGGTATGACTGATGTTATTTTTAGTATTTTTATAAAATTTTTAATATTTTTATAAATTTTATAAATTATAGTACTTTTTATAAAATCTAATTAACACATTTATTACAGTTGAGATTTTATGATAAGTAACATGAGTCTTTTGTTTATAGAAAATTAATAGAGATAAAACGCGTCGTTCATATTAAATGACTGAAGTGAACCAGCCAGAATTTAAAATGACGTACAAATCATTGAATTTGACAATGTGGCGATGAGTTTCTTTTCATATATAAAAACTAAAATTCTTAGCCAGATTATAAAATATTTCATTTTTAATCATAATTTAAGAATGTATGTGGCTGCACTTAATAAAATGGCTAAACGTTTTATAAAACGACGAATTTTGTAATCTGGCTACAACATTTATATATATATATATATATATATATACAGAGTGTCCGGTGACTCATGTTCCAACTCTCGTAGATAGGTAGAGTGGGCCAAACCGAGACGAAAAGTCCTGTATCATTTTACGAAATTCTTAATAATTAATGATTTATTCATAAAAAACGTCGGCCAATTGTACGCGTCTTCACTCGGAGGTGGAAACGTCACTAGGCGCCCGGCGCCGTCATTAAGCGCGCTGGGCGGAGCGTTCGACAAAAGACAAGCCCGATCAGGACGGCTATGTATGTGCTTATAAAGTGAAGGCTTGACAAATTATTTTTTACAATTTTAAAATTTCGACATCATATTTGGTAATGTACTATAAAAAATACGTAAAATTACTAATATAAAAATAAGTGAAAATTACATAATAAATAAAAAAAATATTACATTTATTGTTAATGTAATTTTACATAATTTTTTGTGTATCTCGAAATTCAGAATGCATAGGAAACAGAAATTCGATGCAAATTACACGATAATACTCGGATACGTTTAGTCGAAATTTTAATATGAATAACAAATAATCATTTTCTCAAGAGACATCTCTCTCTCTCTCTCTCTCTCTCTCTCTCTCTCTCTCTCTCTCTCTCTTTCACACACACACACACACTCACACTCTCTCTCTCTCTCTCTCTCTCTCTCTCTCGTGGCATATTTAATCATCCTTTCCTCACCACCTTGCGGTAGATAACATGGCGCATTTTTTTTTAAGTGATATCCCTAATAGGTCTAATCCACTCTCATATTTTAATTCAACAGTTGTTCGAAGTGATTTCCTCCTTCGCGCGAACACAATTCGGCTCTTCAAACCATATTTCGCGTAGCGCGATACGCCATTTCCGGCGTGATGCTATTAAAAGCAGCGAGAATTGCTTCTCGTACTTCTGCTTCTGTGCTATCACGCCTGTGCACGACTAAATTTTTAATGTGACCCTACACGAAATAGTCGAGCACATTGAGATCTGGCGATCGCGCCGGCCAAATAATTGGTCCACCTCGACCGATCCACATGTCGGGATAGTGCGCATTTAAAAAATCGCGCAGTTGACGTGCGAAATGCGCAGGTGCCCCGTCATGTTGGAAAATGAGGCCTGCTCTTACATCGAGAGGGACATCCTCGAGTGAATCACATAACTCATTTTCCAGGAAACGTCGGTAGAATTCACCATTTAGTCGCGGCGGTAAGAAATAAGGGCCGATCTAAAAAAACGTCACAAAAGAATTTATTAAAGTTGCAATGGAAAATTTCTTAATTAATAAGAAAATTTATTATTTACAATTTGGTTTCCAATTATTCCTGCCCACACGTTTGTGGTCCACCGATACTGAAATGCCTATTGTCGAATAACGTGCAAGTTTTTTTTCCGCCCAATAATAATTTTGGCTATTAAGTACGCTGTTCGGTGTAGGTAAACCTCGCTTTGTCTGTCCAGAGAATGCAATCCGGAAAAGATTATCTCGCCGGCATTGAGCATAAAATCCTACGCATTTTCATAGATTGTTGATATTTATTAAATTTTTAATAACGCGAAAACACGAAATAAACATGAAAAAAATATCTTCACAAAAGTAGACGTGCGATGCTCTATTCTCGATAAAAGTTGTACCCGCTGAAAATAATACGGGTGCAATCCGTTTTGGCGTAGAGTACGGTGCACCACGTATCGCGAGAGACCGAGTGTCCGAGCTGCACGGCGCACATTGTTCCGGGGATTCTCTTTGAACTTTCTCAGAATTCTTTCTTCCGCGTTTACATCATAATGCAATGGTACATTTGCATTTCGACGATTTGGAAGAATATTTCCTGTCTCGCACGTTGAACACATCTTAATATGGTGAGAAGGATATCGCTCACGCCCGGGGAATCTCTCCGCGTAAATGCAAACCGCGGCACGAGCCTTTTCTCCGATTAATTCGTACGCAATAATTATACCAGTATACTCCTTTGTAATTATTGTATTTCATTTCTTATCAGGCATGTGTGATCGCGACCGAATGCAAGGCATAAGCATTTTAAACAAATAAATGTTTGTAAGCTGGTAACATTTGTTTCGTTATTCATTTGTTATCATTTTCTTCTTTATCCCGTTGTTTCTCGACACTAGTCGCTGCCCAGCATTCGACGTATACGTAGGGATGTTCCGATACCATAAAAGTATCGATACCTACTCAAATGAGTAGTACTCAAATCGTCTGAGCGATACTACTCATATGAGTACTCCAAAAGTATCGATACTTACTCATATCGATATTTTTTTCATTTTTTTATGCAAATAAATTAATGCTGAATGTATATGATATTTTACTTGAGTGTTTATTTTATATAGTTTAATAAAACACGTTAAATACTTTTATTTCTTTATTAATAATAATTGTTAAACAAAAAAATCATCTTTTGAAAGATTTCCCAAAAAGAGCAATTGCTCTAAATATTTAGGAGACAACTTATTTCTGTTTTGAGTCATAGTTGCACCAGCTTTTGAAAATAAGCATTCACTAGGCACAGATGTTGCAACGATGATAAGATATTGTTGAGCATATTTGTACAAACGAGGAAAAATGACTTTCATGTCTTCTGCAAATGAGTTGTTCTTCAAAGATATTACAGGGTTTGATAAATAAAGAGATATTTCATCACTTTGGTGCGTTTTCTATTTCTTTTTGTGACCATGCACTAGCTCTTTATGATATTTCCAAAAGTCATATTCCTGTGTTACACTAGACGAAGCATCTTCCTCCGAACTTGGACTACTTTGTTGCTCATAAATCATACTTTTGAGTTTTTGTATAGCTTGCCCGCATGCTGCTGGATCTTGAAAATGCAGGTTTTTAAACCTTGGATCCAATAAAGTAGCAATGGCTGCATGGTCATTGCATTCAATTAATCCATACCTTTTCGTCAGCTCTCTCAATAAAACTTCCTTGCATTCTTTTACAATTGGTAAGACTGGTGTGATACTATTAAGTTTGGTTGACAAACAATTAATCATTGGTATAATTTTGGATATCGTGACATACTTTTGTCCAGATGCTTCTCTTGTGACGTATTCAAAAGGCTTTAATAAAGCTGTAAGTTGGTTGAGTGTTTCCATCTCTACAGCAGTTGGCATGTCGGGTGCTGAAACACTTTCGATTACGATTTCAGATATCACTCTTCTCAAATGTAAGAAGCGCTCCAACATGAAAAAGGCCGAATTCCATCTTGTTTTAACATCAGCAACAAGTTTCAAAATTGAACCTTCAGGAATATTGTTTTGCATTTGAATTTTTTTTAATTTGTCTGGCTGCACAACACTATTTTTTATCCAATGCACAATTTCTCGAACTTTAAATATAGCTGTTTTAACGCTAGGTAATTTTAAAGTCTCTCCAACAACGAGATTTATCGTATGCGCAAAACACGGCAAATGCTTCTTTTCACCAATAGATGTTCTTATGGCTGCTAACATAGAACTGGCATTATCTGTCACCACGGCACAAATTTTACTTTGTGATATATTCCAATTATCAAGAATATCCAGAAGTGTTTCCGATATATATTCAGCTGTATGTCTTTCGTTTAGCGCACGAGTGGCTAGGTAAAACATACACATTTCTTCGTTTTGTAGAAAATGTGCTGTCACACCTAAAAAACCTCGTTCGTTCATCGTTTCCGTCCAAATATCTAGTGTGAGACAAATATTGTCTATTTTTGACAATCTAGATCTAGCTGTAGCCACACAAGCCTTATATTTTTCTTGAGTCTTTTTTTTTAAATATTTTGCACCAGGCACTTTAAAATTAGGTTGCAGCTCCTTTATAAGACATAAAAAGTCTTCTCCTTCGACAATGTTAAAAGGCCGCATATCTTTGCAGATAAAAAAAACCAAAGACTGAATTATTTTGTTATATATTGTACCTCCCTCTAAAATAAAAAATTATTTTAAAAAAATTGCAATCAAATACAATGATTAAGTACTAAGAATAATTTTTTTACCTTTATTGGACGAAACTCGCGAAAAAGCCTCCTTTAAAGTATTTTGCAGTATCGTCTTCGTCCTATTTGCGCAATCATCGGCGTCGTAATCAATATCAGATTTTTCTTCTGATTCCGAATATTTTGATGTTGATGATGGCTGTGATAGGTTAGACATGGGTTCCTCAACAACTGTACTCGTCGATTTAGCGGACGTTGTTATACTTTTTGAACTGAAATATAAATTGTATTTTATAATAGTTGAAGGATATCTACCATTGAAGTGCCCTATCGATACCCGATACTATTTATCGTATCTTGTAACTACGAAATTCAAAATAATAGTTACTCGTAGCTACATAAATAAAATTAAATTACTGACAAACAAAAGATAACGACTCATAACCTAAAAAATAAGTCTGTACAGATATAACAATTTTGTATCAGAGAATATTAAAGAGAATTATTTTTAGATACATACCCAGCAAACACAATATATAAATGTTATATACTTAAGCATGTTACATGTAACGTATATGTTAGTTGTAATTTCCCACTCATAGATGTAACATTTTTAATATTACATATATTACATTGTAGTTATATTGTCATTATATCCCAAGATAGCACTGACTTATCAATACATCAATGTGCTATTTGATATATAATTACAATATAACTACAATGTAATATATGTTATATTAAAATGTTACATCTATGAGTGGGAAATTACAACTAACATGGATGTTACATGTAACGTACACGTTATATTACCTGTTATATTCCGTTTTATTATAGCAATGTAACAATTATATATCGGTGTTTGCTGGGTACATACCTTCACTTGTTTTATCAGGCTCAGAAACATTGCTGATTTTTTGTTGTTTTTTTTCTACAACAATTCCGTGAGTATTGGCGTGTTTAAATAAATTGGACGTGTTGCCACAAAACTTCACACTTTTAAAACATTGCTTGCACTTTGCCGTGGTGTCATTCACTTTTGTAAAATATGTCCATACTTTAGATTTCGGCGGCGCCATGATAACAAGAAAAACTAATAAACTTTTGACAAGAAGCACGCACTGCACGATTGCAAACCACAGCAAACAATATGACCGACGAACAGATAGATGTAGCTAACGGCAGCACTGAAGTAAATAGTAGGTCTGTTCTTTTTAGCTGAACTGACTGCACTAGTTCAGCTAAAAAATACAGGCTTAGTGACTCACTCACTACTCGGATATGCGCGCCAAATCGATTTGATACAAGTACTTTTTTATCGATACCGAGTATGTATCGAAAGAATTATTCGATTCTAAAAGTACTCGGTATCGAAACAAAAGTATCGAATACATACTTGTATTTACTTGTATCGAATCATCCCTACGTATACGTCTCGATAAAAGATTAAGTTAAATATTAAGAAATGTATACTACAAGGGAGTACACAGATATGATTATCGCGTACGGTTTAGCCGGAGAAAATGCTCGTGCCGCGGCTCGCACTTACGCGGCGAGATTCCCCGAACGTAAGCGACATCCTTCTCACAAATTAATATTGAGATGTGTTCAACGCGCGAGAGAGACTGGAAATATTCTTCCAAATCGTCGAAATGCAGATGTACCATTGCATTACGATGTAAACGCGGAAGAAAGAATCCTGAGAAAGTTTGAAGAGAATCCCAGGAGCAGTGTGCGACGTGCAGCTCAGATACTCGGTCTCTTGCGATACGTGGTGCACCGTACTTTACGCCAAAACGGATTGCATCCGTATCATTTTCAGCGGGTACAACAACTTCTACCGAGAGATAGAGCACCGCGCGTCTACTTTTGTGAAAGTATTTTTATCATTTTTATTTTGTTTTTGCGTTATTAAAAGATTAATAAATATAAACAATCTGTGAAACATGCGTAGGGTTTCTCGCTCAATGCCGACGGAATGATTTATTTCCGGATCGCATTCTGTGAACAGACGAAGCGACGTTTACGACGAACGGTATATTTAATAGCCAAAATTATTTATATTGGGCGGAAGAAAACCCGCACGTTGTTCGACAGTGTGCATTCCAGTATCGGTGGACCATAAACGTGTGGGCAGAAATAATTGGAAACCAAATTGTAAATAATAAATTTTCTTATTAATTAAGAAGTTTTCCATTGCAGCTTTAATAAATTCTTTTGTGACGTTTTTTTAGATCGGCCCTTATTTCTTACCGCCGCGACTAAATGGTGAATTCTACCGACGTTTCCTGGAAAATGAGTTATGTGATTCACTCGAGGATGTCCCTCTCGATGTAAGAGCTGGCCTCATTTTCCAACATGACGGGGCACCTGCGCATTTCGCGCGTCAACTGCGCGATTTTTTAAATGCGCACTATCCCGACATGTGGATCGGTCGAGGTGGACCAATTATTTGGCCGGCGCGATCGCCAGATCTCAATGTGCTCGACTATTTCGTGTAGGGTCACATTAAAAATTTAGTCGAGTACAGGCGTGATAGCACAGAAACAGAGGTACGAGAAGCAATTCTCGCTGCTTTTAATAGCATCACGCCGAAAATGGCGTATCGCGCTACGCGAAATATGGTTCGAAGAGCCGAATTGTGTTCGCGCGAAGGAGGAAATCACTTTGAACAACTGTTGAATTAAAATATGAGAGTGGATTAGACCTATTGGGGATACCACTTAAAAAAAAATGCGCCATGTTATCTACCGCAAGGTGGTGAGGAAAGGATGACAAATATGCCACGAGAGAGAGAGAGAGAGAGAGAGAGAGAGAGATGTCTCTTGAGAAAATGATTATTTGTTATTCATATTAAAATTTCGACTAAACGTATCCGAGTATTATCGTGTAATTTGCATCGAATTTCTGTTTCCTATGCATTCTGAATTTCGAGATACACGAAAAATTAATTACATTACATTAACAATTAATGTAATATTTTTTTATTATTTATTATGTAATTTTCACTTATTTTTATATTAGTAATTTTACGTATTTTTTATAGTACATTACCAAATATGATGTCGAAATTTTAAAATTGTAAAAAATAATTTGTCAAGCCTTCATTTTATAAGCACATACACAGCCGTCCTGATCGGGCTTGTCGAACGCTCCGCCCAGCGCGCTTAATGACGGCGCCGGGCGCCTAGTGACGTTTCTGCCTCCGAGTGAAGACGCGTACAATTGGCCGACGTTTTTTATGAATAAATCATTAATTATTAAGAATTTCGCAAAATGATACAGGACTTTTCGTCTCGGTTTAGCCCACTCTACCTATCTACGAGAGTTGGAACACGAGTCACCGGACACCTTGTATATATATATATTGTGACGTGACATTTGTTACTGTCCGTCACAAGGGCCGAAGGCCCGGCCGGGAAGACGGGAAATTCGGGAACCTTTGCTCTCTCGCCAACCTTTGAGAGAGAGAGAGCACCCGAAAAATAATTTTTGCGTTTTCTTTCGCGTCGGAGGATGCGCCCCGCGCATCCGTTCCGCGAATTACTTTATTTTTAATTTTTGTTTAAGCGATTTTTGCGTTTTCGGCGAGCAATTTTGTATAAGGTACGTGTCTCAACCGAAGAAACCGAAAGAAAGAGAGAGTGAGGGGACAGAGAGGACGAAGAGGACAATTTCGGACTGAGCAGACGCCACCACGTCCGGATCACGCCCGGTAAATATTATTCACACATAGATTTTCGGGATTGCTCCTCCCGTTAAGAACCGGGATACCGCCATAAAATGTTCCTTCTTTCGCAGAGATTCCGGCAAGAGACGGGGATGGCCACTCTCTCGCGAGAGGCGAGAGAGCTCCAGAAACGAAAGGCGCGGGAGATACCCTGCCTCAAGCCTCAGCCTATCCGGATATACGAAATTTCACCATCGATCAAACAATCGATCTGGCGGATTTTTGGAGGAACAGCAAAGAGGCGCGCTCGTAGGAGTCTCCCCGTCGAAAAATAAAGAGGAACAGCGGAACCGAGGCGGAAGCACAGAGGAACGGCGAGAGAAAGTTTCATCCAGCAAATTCGCAGGGCCCCGCGGGGCTCCCGGCGGCCTTGCCAGGATAAGGAGCGCCACGGGTGGAAAATGTCCAATTTATTATCGGCGTGATCCCGGCAGGCCTCTTGCTCGTCACTGTCTGGCGGAGCGTGATCGAGGACAGAGGTTCCTGCGTGCGGATGCCGAAGCATCGAAGGACCCACCGATACCGGTGAGACAAACGGCCCTATAATTTTGTAAAGCCGCTAAATTCTTTTTTTTGTAAGTAACGTATTGGGGAGAGACGCGTGTCACGGCCGCGGCCGGTTATTAGATATTTACCGATGTCATTTTGCGATATTACAAGAGGTTTACTTAAGAGATTCATTCCGCGTGGAGTTTATCCCGGCGCCCGGCCGACCGCGTGTTCTCTCCCGCGCGCTTATTAAGAGAGGCTCTCTCTCCCGCGGATACGCCGACAGTCGCCGCGATTTCGTTACATTAATGTAGAATAAAAGTTTCGTCTCGTAATGATGGTGTCGTTTCTCGTCTATTAGAGTTTAAAGCTTTTCGTATACTGCCTAGTCAATAGTCACGTATGAGAAATGTAGCGTATTCTTTCTCGCGCATAGCATTATTAGAGTATTCTTCCGATTCTTTGTAACATTGTGCGAGGGACGACCGGCGTAATCGATCTCAAGGAAAATCGCGCGGGACCTACTACAGTTTACGGAAATTTTGTATTGCCTAAAATCATTAGAAATAATTACGTCGCACGGACCTTATTAAGTTTCGTGCGTTACTAATTATTCGACACGTAAGCGTGCGAATTTACTTCCGAGTCCCGCGTGTCGCCCGATATCCCCGCGTCGGGTCGTCTCAAAGGCGCGGAATAATAACAACGCGCCGCGTCTCGGCCGTAAATACGCCGTATTGTATCGTCCGAATCAAATTACGGCTTCGCTTTATCAGGAAACGCGGTAGTGTTTCCGGCCATGTTCAAATCGGTCAAGCCGTTCTGGAAATGCAAGCGGTCAAAAAAGGACGTTTTTCATGAAAAATGAAGTAACGTCGTCTTCTTCTTCTTCTTCTTCTCTGTCCGCGTCCGTTGACGTCATCAGGATTATCAGGAGACGCGGTAGTGTCTCCGGCCATGTTCAAACCCTAAAAGACCTTAAAAGACACTACAAGTCTCCTTATCCTGCACCATCAAAGTCCATTTTTGGGGGTGTAAAACTACTAAAATATAAAAAATTTTGAATTGCACGTAATATAACCTGAAAGGCGGCATTGCCACGAGTAATTTGAACCAAGAAAAAATAAAATCGGTCAAGCCGTTCTGGAGATACAAGCGGTCAAAAAGTACGTCACTTTTTGACCGCTTGTATCTCCAGAACGGCTTGACCGATTTTATTTTTTCTTGGCTCAAATTACTCGTGGAAATGCCGCCTTTCAGGTTATATTACGTGCAATTCAAAATTTTTTATATTTTAGTAATTTTACACCCCCAAAAAATGGACTTTGATGGTGCAGGATAAGGAGACTTGTAGTGTCTTTTAAGGTCTTTTAGGGTTTGAACATGGCCGGAGACACTACCGCGTCTCCTGATAATCCTGATGACGTCAGCGGACGCGGACAGAGAAGAAGAAGAAGAAGAAGACGACGTTACTTCATTTTTCATGAAAAATGTTCGAAATCGAACGGATAAAGAAAGCTGAAAGGAAGGGCATTAATGTATTACATTCAAATTCATGCAATATAAACATGCAGCATGCACATAACTAGCATTACGTATATAAAACCTTAAATTGTAACAGGCAGACTTTAATATTATTTAAATCGCGCTCGGCCGCACAAGTATACATATACCTCGCGCCTGCGAAAAAAGAAGCGCTTGCGTTAACTTTCACTTTAATCGTAAACACCGCGGTCGCGCGAGAGGAGAGAAAATCAAGTGCCAATAACAACAAAATATGACTTGCTAAAAGGTAAATAATTATCGTAAACGTACTTTCGCCCTTAACATCTCGATCGAACAAGGGAAAATGTTCGCGAAGGTTCTCGAAATCCGGGACTATATAAACCTCCTCTCTCGTGACCGCGGCGCTCTTTCCGATTGCTCGTCGCGAATAGAGTGTGCTTTTACTTTCCGAAAAAGATCGCTTGTCTTTTTCGGTTCTCTCTTCTAATTACCGTTGCTTGCGGAACAGTCAGTAATTTATTTTCGACCCGGCTTTTCTCTCGTTTATTGCATTCATTTCTAATACATTCGACTCGGCTATCTTTCGGCAAATTCAGTGCGGAATATTAATTGTAATTTTTGTTAAAAGTTTATATAAATATATTCTTTTTTGTGAACGTTACGCGTGTGTCGAGTGTTGTGTCTATCTCTCAGTCTCGCTTCCGACCACGTCCTATCCATCTTTCCGTCGCGCACATTTTTTTGGTCATTCGAGCCGGATTCCTCAGGAACCTCCCTTGAATCCGGTGCCACGGAAGCGATAGTGAATCAGTGTCGGTGACCGGTGCTCCTAGAAAAGAGAAACAGTTTTAGACATGACAGACACTAAGGCAATCATTGCCACAGCCACAGTGCTATACGGCAAAATCTCGCGCGCGTACGAGAACCTTCGGAAGCTCGGCGAGGCCAATATCACCCTCGGCGCGGTGGAGGCCCGGCTTCAAAACCTCGAGAAGCTGTGGGAGAAATTTGACACAATTAACGATACTTTAGCCGATCGTGTGGACGAAATACGGCATGAGGTGTACGCCAAACAAGATATCCCTTCGTTGGGCGAGGAGGCTTACCTGCAGAACAAGGGCCTCATGCTCGATCTGAAGAGCGCTCTCCAACGACAAGAGCATACATCCAGACCAAGTTCGGCAGCGACACCGGCCGCCGCTCCTCGGACCGCATTGCCTAAGATTCAACCGCCGACCTTCACCGGGAAGTACGAAGATTGGCCTTCGTTCCGAGACCTCTTCCAGTCCATCATTGGCAGGAACCAGGCAGCCAGACCTGTTGAGAAATTACATTATCTCAAACTTTGTGTCAAGGGTGATGCGGAGTTACTGATACGCAACCTGAACACTACGGAGGAAAACTACGAAATCGCTTGGAAGACGCTAAGCGATTTTTACGAGAACGCCAGGCTGTTAACCCGAAACGACCTCAACAACTTCCTGGCGCTTCCTAAGATGAAGAGCGAATCCGCAGTGGAACTGGGGCGACTCTTTCACGGCGTAAAAACCACAGTCAGCTCGCTGAAGAGTCGATCGTCCCATCGATCGCACGGAGGACCTCTTTGTGCATCTGGTCGTCGAGCTCCTCGACAATCGTTCTCGTCGGGAATGGGAGAGCGTCATCAGTCACACGACCAACCCGCCTACTTACGCCGAGCTGGAAGCCTTCATCGAGCGACGGCTTCATACTTTGGAGGCACTGTTTCCAGCCAAGAACGACAGCCGCAACCTTAGCAGTGCAAAAACAACTCGGAGCCATCACGTGAAGAAAGCTGAAACGAAGGATAGATCCAGAAGTCGGTGCGCCGATTGCCAGGGTGACCACTTCATAATGTTTTGTGACAAATTCAAGGAGAAGACGGCTACGGCCCGCAGGCAGTTTGTCAACGATCAAAATCTCTGCTCAAACTGCCTGGGTCGACACCAGCTTTCGGAATGCTCATCAAAAAAGACTTGCACGACGTGCGGCAGTCGGCATCACTCCTCGCTGCACGACGCCTTCTGCAACGCCAAGACCGCCACAACATCACACTTAGCGCAAGGATCTCATCCGGCCTCTGTCACGGTGTTGCTCGCCACAGCTCGCGTCCGCGTCCTCGATGGCCACGGATCCTGGCATTCCGCCCGAGCGCTGATCGACCAGGGCTCAGAGTCTTCCATCATATCGGAGCGATTGGTTCAGCGACTGCGACTGCCTCGCATGCCCGCCGCCGTCAGCGTTTATGGACTCGGCGAGAAAAAAACGGGAGTTGCAAAGGGTAAGGTTCAGCTTACTTTTAGAGCGCACAACGGCGACCAGTCCAACTCCGTCGCCGCCTTGATCCTGCCGAAGCTCACTCTCTTCGCCGGAGGATGCCGCCAAAGTCTGCAGTCCTGGACCCATCTTAAGGACCTGGAGCTCGCCGATCCAGAATTCCGTTCCGCGGATCCAGTAGATCTTCTGCTGGGCGCCGACGTCTACGGAGTAATCATCCGCGAGGGCCTAAAAAAGGGGAATCATCAGGAACCAGTGGCACAGCAGACCTCACTAGGATGGATACTCTCAGGCACCATCAATGAGAATGCACGCGGCCATCGTGTTGCAACTCACCATTGCCAAATCGAGGAGGACATCACCTGCTTGGTTCGGCGGTTCTGGGAGCAGGAGGAAGTTCGTAGGCCATCTCCGATCCTCACCAAGGCCGAACTGGAGTGCGAAGAGCACTATCGCCGACATCATACTCGCTCTCCAGACGGCCGGTATATCGTGCGCCTGCCCACTATTGACTCTCTGCCGGACCTCTCAGGAACAATCCGCGCTGCCCGCCGAGCGCTGCAACACACAGAGAAAAGGTTTGAGAGAGACAGCGAATTTCAAGGTATGTACGTGGAATTCATGCGGCAATATTTGAACCTGCGACACATGAGGCCTGCTCCGTCGTCAACTGAATCGCATCCGGGGGCTTGCTACCTGCCTCATCACGGGGTATTGCGTCCGGACAGCTCATCAACCAAACTGAGGGTCGTCTTCAACGGCTCGAGCTCCTTGCCGAACGGAGACTCCCTCAATAGATATTTAGCAACTGGTCCGAATCTACTGCCTTCGCTAGCCGACATCCTGCTGCGCTGGCGACGTCATCGCTACGTCTTCGCGACTGACATCGAAAAGATGTATAGGCAGATACTGGTGCACCCCGACGATCAAAACCTGCAAAGGATATTGTGGAGAGGGAACGCCAAGGACGAAATCAAGGAGTACTGGCTAAGTACCGTTACTTACGGTCTATCCTGTGCTCCTTATCTAGCGATCCGCACTTTACGACAACTAGCCGAGGACGAAGGACATCGCTACCCGAAAGGAGCCCTCATCCTGCTGAGCGACGTCTACATGGACGACATCCTGGCCGGTGCGGAGACCATGGAGGAAGCCGAAGTAATGCTGCAACAGCTGACTGAGATCTGCAGGGCGGGCGGCTTTTCACTTAAAAAGTGGTCGGCAAACCACTCGCTCCTGCTGAACGCAGTGGAGCCCGACGACCGTCTTCGACGAAAGGCCAGATGGTGGCTGCCCGGCGAGAGTCACTCCACTCTCGGTTTACGCTGGCAACCACGTGACGATCGCTTCGCTTTCGCAACCAAACTGACCACGCTGTCGACCTTCACCAAAAGGTCGGTATTATCTTTGACGGCGAAAATGTTCGACCCTCTCGGCTGGCTGGCCCCAACAACGGTATTAGCCAAGATCTTCATCCAGTCCACCTGGTTGCTAGGTCTTGATTGGGACGCTCCGCTACCCAGCGACGACGAGAGAAGATGGCTGCGATTCCAGAACGAGCTGCCTGCTTTGGAAAACGTGCTCGTACCTCGATGGCTGGGAGGTTTGACTGATTCACAGCTGGAAATCCACGGGTTCGCCGATGCCTCAGAGCGTGCCTACTCAGCGGTGCTATACCTGAGGACAGAAACAAAGGGACTTATTAAGGTGGCACTCTTAGCTGCAAAAACTAAGGTCGCGCCCTTGAAGCAAGTATCACTACCTCGGCTGGAGCTGTCGGCCGCCACTCTTCTGGCTCGTCTAGTCGCCCACACCGTACCGATCATCGGAGCAGCCAAGGCACCTCTTCACATGTGGTCTGATTCCACCGTCACGCTTGGTTGGATCCGTGGGCATCCCTCGATGTGGGCCACCTATGTAGCTAATCGAGTCAGCGAGATCCAGATGCTGATCCCGGACGCCCACTGGCATCACGTACCAGGTCGGGAGAACCCAGCGGACTGTGCTTCCCGGGGACTCTACCCTAGCGAACTGGTTGACCACCCGCTCTGGTGGCAAGGTCCCGCATGGCTGACAGAGGAGAGCGGTACTTGGACGACGAATAGCGAGGCGATGCCAGCGGAGGACCTCCCAGAGAGACGAGTCCGGACCCACATCGCCGCCGTTACCGAGCTGAAGCCCGAATCGGAGTTACTGCTGCGCTACTCCTCGCTGAAGCGACTGCTACGGATCTCGGTTTGATGCCGCCGCTGGTTGCTGATTCACCGCCAGCACCGCCATGCGCAAGGCCAGCCTAGCGTGATCAGCTCCGACGAACTGACGGAGACCCGCATCTCCTGGGTAAGGTTGATCCAATCTAAAACCTTTACAGAAGACATTAGAAAGCTGCAAAATGGAGCGGCTCTGCCGTCGCAAAGCTCCCTACAGAAACTGAACCCATTCCTGGACAGCGAGGGACTTCTACGAGTCGGCGGGCGCCTCAGACACGCAAACCTACCGTACGACGCAACTCATCCCCCAATACTGCCCAGCGAGTCGGCTTTCACTCTCCTCGTCGTAGATGATCACCACCAGCGAACTTTACACGGCGGTACTCAGATGACCTTGTGCTTCCTGCGCCGGGAGTATTGGGTCCCTCGAGGTCGGTCGTTGGTGAAGAAACACATCAGCCGATGTGTAAGGTGCACAAGATGGCGAGCCGCCATCCCACAGCCTCTCATGGGCGATCTCCCGGGGCCAAGGGTCACACCAAGCAGGCCATTTCTGCACACCGGCGTCGACTACGCCGGTCCGGTTTGGCTGAGGACCTCGAAGGGCCGCGGACACAAAGCTACTAAAGGGTTCATTGTGGTTTTTGTATGTTTAGCCTCCCGAGCCGTTCACCTCGACGTAGCCTCGGACTACTCCGCCGACGCTTTTATCGCAGCCTTGCGCCGGCTCATCTCAAGGCGAGGGGTCTGCATCAGCTTATACAGCGACTGCGGTACCAACTTCGTGGGTGCGGACAGGCAGCTAAACTCTCTCTTCTCCGCCGCCAGTGCCGACGGACGCCGCATCGCCTCATTCGCCGCACAGGAGAAGATCCAGTGGCATTTCAACCCACCGGCGGCACCGAACTTCGGCGGCTTGTGGGAAGCCGCGGTTAAATCGATGAAGCACCATCTGCGACGAGTCATCGGTGATGCGACCCTCACCTACGAGGAGCTGGCTACGCTCCTCTCGCAGATAGAGGCTTGCCTCAATTCACGACCTCTGCAGTCCTTGTCCGATGATCCTGAGGACGTCGCAGCTCTCACACCGGGGCACTTCTTGATCGGTTCCGCTCTCTCCGCAGTACCGGAGCCGTCGCTCGAACGAGAGCCGTCGACCCGACTATCACGCTGGCAGCTCCTGCAACAGATGAGGGACCATTTCTGGTCTCGGTGGTCCAGCGAATACTTACATACGCTGGCCCATCGGCCAAAATGGTCCCAAGTCAACCAGGAGGCTCACGTCGGGCGTCTGTGTCTACTCCGCAGCGAAACCACCCCACCAACGCGGTGGCCGCTCGCGCGCATCACTCGGCTGCATCCCGGATCCGACGGCCACGTGCGCGTCGTCGATATACGTACCGCGAGTACGAGTTTAACGCGCCCCGTCAGTAAACTTGTGTTCCTGGGCGGCGACCACGAAACTTTACGATAATCCGGCGTAAAGCGGCTCATATAATTCTGTTCTTCTTTTCCACAGATCTTCATCGCTCATCTCTCATCAATTGCACGCCCACTTTCACTTCACCAACATACTATCACATCACTACCTTCTGTTCATTACGACACCATTCTCACCACCAAAATAGTCGCCTCATCCTAAATTACAGTAGACCCATTTATCTAAATTGCTCGGTCTTCGCGACACAAGAGCCGACACGCGTCTATACTGCTACGCAAGAAATCAACAGCTGACCGATTCAGCATTCCTTTCGCGACCTAAGCCGGAGCACGTGAACTCCTCGTGTCCGGAACCAGCGAGCGCGTGAACAAGCGCGCGCCCCCTCTATCGCACTATTCAGTGGATTGCAGGTATACTGCAAGGCGGGCGGAATGTTCGAAATCGAACGGATAAAGAAAGCTGAAAGGAAGGGCATTAATGTATTACATTCAAATTCATGCAATATAAACATGCAGCATGCACATAACTAGCATTACGTATATAAAACCTTAAATTGTAACAGGCAGACTTTAATATTATTTAAATCGCGCTCGGCCGCACAAGTATACATATACCTCGCGCCTGCGAAAAAAGAAGCGCTTGCGTTAACTTTCACTTTAATCGTAAACACCGCGGTCGCGCGAGAGGAGAGAAAATCAAGTGCCAATAACAACAAAATATGACTTGCTAAAAGGTAAATAATTATCGTAAACGTACTTTCGCCCTTAACATCTCGATCGAACAAGGGAAAATGTTCGCGAAGGTTCTCGAAATCCGGGACTATATAAACCTCCTCTCTCGTGACTGCGGCGCTCTTTCCGATTGCTCGTCGCGAATAGAGTGTGCTTTTACTTTCCGAAAAAGATCGCTTGTCTTTTTCGGTTCTCTCTTCTAATTACCGTTGCTTGCGGAACAGTCAGTAATTTATTTTCGACCCGGCTTTTCTCTCGTTTATTGCATTCATTTCTAATACATTCGACTCGGCTATCTTTCGGCAAATTCAGTGCGGAATATTAATTGTAATTTTTGTTAAAAGTTTATATAAATATATTCTTTTTGTGAACGTTACGCGTGTGTCGAGTGTTGTGTCTCACCGCTTTTCCCATCCCTTTTTCGCCTCTTTCACCCTCTTTCGTCCTCTCTTCCCCTCTTCGTCCGTCCTCTCTCACCCTCTTTCGCCCTCTCTCACCCTCTTTCGTCCTCTTTCACTCTCTTTCATTCTCTCTCACCCTCTTTCACCCTCTTTCATTCCCTCTCACCCCCTTTCGTCCTCTTTCACCCTCTTTCGTCCTCTTTCACCCTCTTTCGTCTTACCTCACCCTCTTTTGTCCTCTCTCACCCTCTTTCACCCTCTTTCGTCCTCTCTCACCTCTTTCACCCTCGTACGTCCTTTCTCACCCTATCTCCAAAAAATCATAAAAATGAAAAGGTCAAGCCATGTTCAAAAGAAGATCCTCAAAAATTTAAACCTAGTCTGTACAATGAAAAATAATTACTCGTAATTCTAGAGTTCCAATTTGTTAATATCGAATAATGTATTTGTTTCAAGTAATGGCAGTAGAGTCAAATACATACCTACGTATATGCAGTTTTTGCTGTTAATTGTACTTGAACGAAAAAAATAATTAAATGATTTAAATATAGCACATTTTAAATCAAGAAACTTATATAATCGAACTCTGTTTAGGAAAAGGTAGAACATTTCATTTGCCTCTGCCTTTACAAGAAACATTGGATAAGGTATGTCCTCCGGAAGATCCTATAAATTTGAATCACGAGTTGCACATTCTCGTTCGAGGTATACCCAAGAAATCTAAAGTGGTTTGGGAAAATTTGGTAGATATTAATAAAATGTATAAGGCTTTACAATGGTTGAAAGAAAATTATCCTCATTACTCAAAAATTCGTCTTCCAGCGTCATCTGATGATCTATTAAAGGATAAGTTGCAGGAAACAGAATATAGGATTGTCGATGAGGAAAGCGACAATGACGAAATAAATGAGGTGGTTGAGGAATTACCAGCATTGAATTTGTACAATGTACAGCAAAACAAAAATAATAATGATCAAACCGTTTTAAAATGTACGGCTTTTCTCACACAAATCACTGAACATTCGGATATTAACGATAAGTAATACAATATACCCAATACACGCGAAAAGAATCGATAACGAATCTGCATTGAAGCTTTATCAAATGGTGAAAATTGAAGATTTTCCAATGGATAATCGTTATAAATATCTGGATGTCATGTGTTTCCCTGATTTATATCCTGATGGTGTCAATGGACAACGAGAAGATAGAAACTTTGCATTGCCGGAATATTTATTTATTAGAACACGATTGATGTCGAAACATAGTAGATTCAGGTTGAATCTGCAGTATCTGTTCTTCCTTCTCAATGATGCTAACTACCGACAGTTGAAAAGTGGTATCTATTATACGATGATGGTTACTAACCCACGAGAGAGATACACTGCTGGTAGATACTTGAACGAATTGAAAGGTTGCCAATTAGAATCGAATTTAATGAGTATTTTCGCAAAATTGAGAAATACGGATCAATTTTGGCGACAACCGTCCAATAATGTAAAATGCATGACTTTGCATTACGGTCCAGCGACGTGGTTTTTGACTTTGAGTCCTAGTGAATGGAAATGGTCCGATTTGGGTGAATATTTACGAGATATGAATCCCGATAAAGAGAAGTTAGGCATCAGCGAACTAATCGCATACGATCCTGTAAGTACTTCTAGATTCATGTGCATAAAATTCAAAGCCATGATTGATTTTATTTGTTCGTCCGATAATCCAATAGGAAAGGTTATTCATTACTTCTGGCGACTGGAATATCAACGTAGAAGTATCCAGCACATGCATTGTATGATTTGGATAAAAGATGCTCCAGTATTAGGAAAATCGCCGGATGAAGAAGTTGCTACGTTTATTCAAAAATACGTAACGTGTGAAATTCCAGATGAAAATGTTTCGCCAACGTTGTACGATACGGTAATAAGTGATCAGAATCATAAACATAACTCGTATTGCATGCGTACGAAAAAAACGGAAACTAATATATACAGAAAGTGTCGGTTCGATTTTCCTCGGCCAGTTACTGAGAATTTCGTTTTAAGAGACGTTATCACTTCGATAGTCGGTAGAAAAAATTTACGCAGTAAGAGCAGATTGTACGATCTTCCTCGCAAGGAGTCGGAAAGGTTTATAAATGATTATAATCCGTCTATCAAATTAGCCTGGGAGGGAAATATGGACATACAATTTATTGGAGAAAAATCAGAGTTTTTAAACTCATATTTAACAAAATACACGACAAAGTCGGAAAAATGCAATACAGACTTTGAAGTGATAGATTCGAATAAGTTCTTGGCATCGAAACTGTGGAATTTTGCAATGCGTTCATTAAATAACAGAGAATGCGGTGCTTTAGAAACTGCGGATACACTATTAGGGAATCCCTTGTACGGTACGGATAATGATACCATGGTCAAATGGATCGATGTTAATGAGGTGAGAAATAGAAAAGTTAAAACATTTAATGAAATTTAAGCTCTTGATGAAAATTCTACGAATATTTACTGTTCGTCACTCATCGATGATTACTATCCAAATAGACCTCAGGAATTAGAATCATTGAATTTGTACGATTTTGCCAGATTCTGGGAAATTACGAAACAGATGTCAAATAATGACGAAGTCAAGTGTTACAAACTGGCATCGGGTTTATTTTTAAAAAAACGAAAAAAGGGTTATTTAATTAACCATTATCGATTTAATATAAAAACTGAGCCCGAAAAATACTTTTACTCGCTGCTTCTTCTGTTCAAACCATGGAGAGATTTGAGTGAACTCAAAGGTACATTCGAGACTTACACGGATGCCTTTAAGAATTCAGAGTCTGTTTTAACGAAGGCAATGAAATATCACGAAAGGCTCGAAGAAATACAGAAAGCTTTTGAGAACGTTGCTGAATTAATCGAGAAGCGCGAAAATGATCTGAAAACAGCAGACAGAGACAAATCCGATGACAATGAACTGGATTGTAATCCGATAGAAGCTGACGACGCGATGAAAGATCTGGAAGATTTTGGTAAGATTGACGACCCGATTGATTTATCGCAAATGATGTCGCAATTGAACAAAGACCAGAAAAGAGTCGCAGGTTAACGTATACAGTTTTACCCTACTGATGACTAGTCATTGCGATAGTAATCCTGCTCAGTACGAGAGGAACCGCAGGTTCGGACATTTGGTTCACGCACTCGGTCGAGCGGCCGGTGGTGCGAAGCTACCATCCGTGGGATTATGCCTGAACGCCTCTAAGGCCGTATCCTCTCTAGTCGAAGGTGGCAATGATATCTCTAGGAGTCTCGTGAGTCGAAAGGCTCAAAACAATGTGACACTACTAGGCGGCCGGTCCTCGGGCCGGTCGTCGCACGAGCCCGGTTTGCCGTACGGCGCCATCGCCCGTCGTCGGGATCTCACCGCTACGACGGCACGGCGTCTAACGGTCGATCATGGGTTTCGCAAGTTCGATGTCGAGACTCGGAATCGTCTGTAGACGACTTAGGTACCTGGCGGGGTGTTGTACTCGGTAGAGCAGTTACCACGCTGCGATCTGTTGAGACTCAGCCCTCGGCTTGGGGATTCGTCTTGTCGGTTAGACGAGACCCCACACGTTCGACGGCGAAAGCAACACGCCGCGAACGGACTTGGATGAATTTCTCGCTCGCCGGCGAAAGCAACACGCCGCGAACGGACTTGGAAAAATTTCTCGCTCGCCGGCGAAAGCAACACGCCGCGAACGGACTTGGATGAATTTCTCGCTCGCCGGCGAAAGCAACACGCCGCGAACGGACTTGGAAAAATTTCTCGCTTGCAACACGCCGCGAACGGACTTGGATGAATTTCTTCGCCGGCGAAAGCAACACGCCGCGAACGGACTTGGACTTGGAAGAATTTCTCGCTCGCCCGG